GAACTTACATTCCTTAAAGGCAGCATCGCTGGTGGGAATGGACTTCTTGCTATGAAAGAGCAGGGCCCTCAATCCCCTCATGTTTTGCATTTTATTGGTATTGTTCTGTCACATGTTCTGTCCCCCTTTGTAATGCACAGCGCTGAGCGAACTATTGGCGCTTTATAAATACCGTATAATAATAATATATAGCTTAATCATTTGATCATGTTCTGTATGTTCCATATATTAATAATATTTACTGTTTTTCCTAATTGATTCCTACCTACCCTGTTTTGTTAATAAAACTTTAAAATTACATTCAGTCTGGCTTATTGCAGAATAGGAGGGTTTAGCTACAATTAAAGTTACACACAGGGAAACGTGTAGCGAGCGAGACAGAACATATATACACACACACAATATATCAACTAGCATAACAACTGTTTTAAAAAGTATATGATAAAACTACTAGAATAGAATAAAAACTGAATGAATACCATTTTAGTTTCCCATTAAGAAGTGTTATTAGGAAAAGGAATTGTTTATTGAATGAAGCTGAGGGTGGGTTTTCACAGTGCACTTTTTGTATTCAGTATATGACAGAGCAATGTAATGGAGAAAGCTAAGAAAACAATACTAAGAGGTTATAGTGCCATCTTGTGGTAAAGTCTAATTAATGACTATTTCTTTACAATGATTGGACACCATTAACACAGGCCACAGTTATAACATGTCCATTCAGAAATGTGCAGATCAGTAAGATGTCCATTCAGTAATCTGTAGATCAGTAAGATGTCCATTCAGTAATCTGCAGATCAGTAAGATGTCCATTCAGTAATCTGCAGATCAGTAAGATGTCCATTCAGTAATCTGCAGATCAGTAAAATGTCCATTCAGTAATCTGCAGATCAATAAGATGTCCATTTAGTAAATGTTTAATTCAGAATAACTGGACCGGATACATCTAATGCTAGGCCGTCAAATGAAATGTTTCAATTATTTTATCACTGTCAGAATCGGTGGTCGGTGAGTGTACAACATAATGCCCAACTGTCCTCAGCAGGAATATATACTTCTCTGTTGTGATACTTCGATTCTGCTGCTTCTGATGGGCAGTGAGAGTGAAGCAGTCAGATGTGCTTAGGTCAAGACAGACTGTGGGGATTTATTTACTAAAACTGGAGCGTGCAAAATCTGGTGCAACTCTATACTGCAGAAACCAATCAGTTTCCAGTTTTTACTGCCAAAGCTTAACTAAAAAAAACTGAAGTTAAAAGCTGATTGGCTACCATGCACATCTGCACCAGATTCTGAGTGCTCCAGTTTTAGTAAATCTACCTCTCTGTGGTGCTACTCTGAATACAAAGCTGTGCAGGCTGCATATAAGTGCCAAACTCCAGAGGACTTCAGTATTGGCACTTGGACACCACTTCCCTGCAGTGCTGAGCACTGTCAGTAATATATTTATTACAGGTACTTATATAGCACCAATTTACGCAGCACTTTACATATATATTGTAATTACATCAGTCCCTAACCCCCAAGGGGCGTAAAATCTAAGGTTCCTAATTCACATTCATACATACACATACTAGGGTCAATTTAGACAGGATCCAATTAACCTATCAGCATGTCTTTGGAGTGTGGGAGGAAACCGGAGTAACCCGGAGGAAACCCACGCAGGCACAGGGAGAACTTGCAAACTGCAGGCGAGTGGTGTCGTGGTCTGGATTCAAACCAACGACCCTAGTACTGCCAGTTGGAAGTGCTAACCATGTAGCCACTGTGCTGCCCATTAAGCCCAAACCTAGTGGATCGTTACACTACCTAGCCACAATTCATTTCTAATCCCTGATAATTTCCCTTGTGTGAACATAGTCCATGGGGTGCAGCGTTGTCTTCCTGGCAGCCAAGTCTTCAACACTGCCATGTTAAGATCAGATCCTTTATATGCTAACCTATGGGACCTGGCAGAGATTTGCAGTGTGTCTGCAAAATTCTGCTGAGCATCTCTTCCAGGTCCCATACATTGGGAGACGCACTGCTTTCTGGGGGCTTTTCATGCATGTGTAAATATGCTACAGGTCTCTTATTAGGTGCTGCAGACACATGGGGGTTTATTTACTAAAGCTAGAGAGTCCAAAATCAAACTCCCTTCTGCATAGAAACCAATCAGCTTCCAGGTTTCATTGCCAAAGCTTCATTGAACAAGCTGAGGTTAGAAGCTGATTGGTTTCTATGCAGAAGGGAGTCTGATTTTGGACTCTCCAGCTTTAGTAAATAAACCCCATGGTGTATCAGCACATGTGCCATACATGTTCAAATGTTGCGCTAAAAGTCCTGGACACGTCATCCTTCCCTAGGCAAAGAGTCATAGAAAAAAGAGGTATTAATTGTTTACAACAATCCTAGGCACCCTGCACATGGGGACAGTGTATACTCCAAATCCCCATGGCTTACTCCCTTTGCTCATGAAACTGTACAGAAATAAAGTTAAGAGACGGTGAGACCAGCATTAAAGTGACCCTATTACACTGCTCAAAAAAAATTAAAAGGAACACTATTTAATCAGAGTATAGCATCATGTCAGTTAAACTCCTGGGATATTGATCTGGTCAGTTATGTAGCAGAGGGGGTTGTTAATCAGTTTCAGCTGCTTTGGTGTTAATGAAATTAACAACAGGTGCACTAGATGGGCAACAATGAGACAGCCCCCAAAACAGGAATGGTTTTACAGGTGGAGGCCACTGAAATTTTTACCTTACTCATCTTTTCTGACTGTTTTTCACTAGTTTTGCATTTGGCTAGGGTCAGTGTCGCTACTGATAGTATGAGGTGATACCTGGACCCTACAGAGGTTGCACAGGCAGTCCAGCTCATCCAGGATGGCACATCAATACATGCCATTGCCAGAAGGTTTACTGTGTCTCCCAGCATAGTCTCAAGAACATGGAGGAGATTCCAGGAGACAGGCAGTTACTCTAGGAAAGCTGGACAGGGCCGTAGAAGGTCCTTAACCTATTAGAAGGACCAGTATCTGCTCCTTTGTGCAAGGAGGAACAGGATGAGCAGTGCCAGAGCCCTATAAAATTACCTCCAGAAGGCCACTGGTGTGAGTGCCTCTGACCAAAGTCAGAAACAGATTACATGAGGGTGGCCTGAAGACCAGATGTCCTCTAGTGGGCCCTGTGCCCACTGCCCGACACCATAGAGCTTAATTGGCATTTGACATTGAACACCAGAATTTGCAGGTCCTCCACTGGCGCCCTGTGCTTTTCACAGATGAGAGCAGGTTCACCCTGAGCACATGACAGACGTGAAAGGGTCTGGAGAAGCCGTGGAGAACGTTATGCTGTTCGTAACATCGTTCAGCATGACCATTTTGGTGGTAGGTCAGTGATGGCCTGGGAAGGCAAATACATAGAGGGATGCACAGACCTCTACAGGCTAGACAATGGATCCTTGACGATTTTTTGGTACATTCTTGCTAATTAATAAAAATAATTGAAAAAGAAATTATGCTTATCTTATTTTTCTGATACACCTGCACTGTAAACTTTTGTGTTTGCCCCTGTGATCACTCAGCAATAGATAACCCACCCAGCACACATATGGTTTACCCCTTTAAAAAAAATTAAATCATAACTGAGAGAAATTCTTGCATGATTTTCACATTTTAAATACTTGCTGTTTTATATTTCATTATCATACTTCGTATACAGATTTGCTCATTTTCAGTTAATGTTGTGAGAAAATAAATGACAGCATAATCTGTCTCTAACTGAACTTGCCTGAGCGATAAAGCTTTTCAAGTAGACAAACAGCCTTCTTCAGCAAACAGTGCAAGCAGCAACTGTATGACAAAATGCGGTCGCGGTGCTAGGTAAAAAAATAAAAAAAGGTTCTGCTTCCATTAAAGGCTCTCGCCGCCTGACAGTTCTTAAATACCTAAGGGGCGGGACCCGCCCGATGTCATGCTGGGTTGATGATGTCATGCTGGGTTGATGATGTCACAAGGGGTTGGGGTCACCCAAGACATCACCAGGTGGCCCCATCCCTTAGTAGGAATTGTCAGACAGTGGGAGCCTTCATCTGGAGCAGAGCCTCTTTTTTTTTTTTCAGATCGGTACTGGCATCGTGACTGACAATGAATCTACACTGTGGTACTTTTTTATTTTGTTTTTTTAAATAAAGGACTTGTAAAAAAACTGCCCTCCTGTGTCTTTTTACACTACACTTTTTTTTTGTCTGAATGAGTAGGGATACCATGAACCTTCACAGATTTTATTGTGGAAACATTTTCATATTCCATTGTAAATCAACTCAAATGTGTCCATTTAGCGAATAGAGACAAGCTAGGTGAAAGAATACTTACACAGGGCAATCGATCAGCAATAACACTATAAACTGAAACCACAACATGTGAGTCTATCATTACAAGGTAAGGCAAACAAATGACACAGGACATATCACTATCCTAATGCATAGTTAAAACAACAAAAAACACTTGAAAGTACACAATGCCTTTAAGGCCCCATTCACAATTTGTGTTGCGGCTCATGGTATTGTGTGCAAGATTTTCATGCAATTACATGTGTCGTGCATAGGGCAGCCCATTGATGCACATTTGTCCTGCAAAGAAAACTCATGTTCCTTTTTGGGTGACAAGCTTTGCACAATTTTTGTTGTGTGACAATCACGGAAAAATCAAATCGTGTTAGGAGTGCCATGTTGTTTTTTATTGTAGGCCTGTAATTCTTAGGAATAACTCACTGAAATGTGTCCGAACAAGAGTCTAGTAAACATCCCGGGTATGATAAAATTTGAAACACAAAATCATAAATTATAATATAATAATCATAAAAAATAATATAATAATAATACATTTAATTCAATAATGTAATCAAACCAAAAACACTGAAATTTGAAATATAGCGCCAAGTTCGCACATCACTGAGCATAGTCGCAAAACGTTTTCAGTGTCTAATGACGAATTTCTCCACGAATCATTATCACTCAATTCTGCAAGTGGTTCTAATTTACTATCGCTGTTCTCAAGCTGGTCTAAAACCGATTTTGACCTAAAGGGACGCTTTTTGGACACCATGGACGTTTCTCAGTTTCTAGGCAAAAATAATAGTAAAAATGCAGGCAGGGCACAGGACAAAGCAGTAGGGACAAAATGTATGTGAAATGGTTTTATACAGTAATGTAATACAGTCAGATTTTAGTGTATTGAGTGAATGTCAAATTTTTACATTTTTTAAATTCCCGCCGGTTCTGTCCCCCTGTACGTACTGACGCTCACAGGGAACGGAACCCAGAAGACAAATGCCACTATCGGCCGGAGGACGCTGCAGGGGGGACATTGCGGGACCGCAGGACAAGGTAAGTGCTTGAAGGATCCTAGAGCAACGCTGCAGGGTAATCCCGAGTGTAGCTCGGGGTTACCGCTTCTGGTACTGAAACTTAACCCCTGAGCTACACTCAGGAATACTGCCAGGGAGTTAAAGTGATACTAAACCCCAGACCCTGCATTCACTATATCTGGTCTCCCACAGCACCCACAACATGAAAATGCAATTATTTTAGTAAATATAAACTGCTAAATACCTTTTCTCATCAGCAGAGCACTGGTTAAGTCTTATGACTTCAGCAGAGCACTGGTTAAAGCTTGTAGGAGAAGTTTTCTTTCTGCTCTAAGAGGATGTGAAACCCCTGACCCTTTTGTCTGGACAGTGCTAATTGGCCTTGTGCTGATAATATGCACTCTCCCATTAAAAAAAAAAAAAAAAAAAAAAAAAAAAATAGCAATACACACCAAACTGAGCATGTGCATGTAACTATGGATTCAGTCTATCAGGTGGTCATTTCAACAAGAGCAGGGGCAGAGAAGACAGGATCAAACAGCCTTTATATACAATGTGAAGGATTAACCCCTTAGGTTCCACAGCGAGTATAACAAGCATGCTTTACTGCATATACAGACTGATTTTACTGTTGTGGGTTTAGTAACACTTTAAGAATGAATCACACATTCTACCGTGATTTGGAATTGCAGGCTGATTCGCTGGGATTTCCAAATTGCCAAGTGTGAATGGGGCCTAAATTTTCAACACTGTGCCTAATGCACAGATATTTATTTATTTATTTATTTATTACAGGTACTTATATAGCGCCGTCAATTTACGCAGCGATTTACATATATAGTGTACATTCACATCAGTCCCTAACCCTCAAGGAGCATACATTCTAAGGTCCCTAACTTACATTCATACAAACACATATTAGGGCAATTTAGACAGGATCCAATTAACCTACCATGTCTTTGGAGTGTGGAAGGAAACCGGAATACCCAGAGGAAACCCACGCAGGCACAGGGAGAACATGCAAACTCCAGGCAGGTGGTTTCATGGTTAGGATTTGAACCAACGACCCTAGTGCTGCCAGGCGGTAGTGCTAACCATTTAGCCACTGTGCTAAAACCAATTTCTGTAATACACTAACAATTTAATTTACATTAGCTGACCGATTTATATGTATGGATAAAAGAAAAAAAAAAATAAAGATGTCCTTTTAAATAGCAGCCATGCAGTGCTACTATAAGATCCCAGCTTTTGGCTCCATAGTTTGGTGGTTATCGCCGTTATTGTTTTTGAATGATGCGTCCATCCTTGGACTAGAGAAGCAGTGTGATGAATGCAGCATGATCTGTCCATGAATACACAGCGCCGTTATAGAGCAATAACAATAAAATTCTAAGCTGCCCCTAGAGAGAAAACAATTGAGTTCTCTTTGCCCTGCAGTATTTTCATACTTGGATGATTTAATTGCCTGAATGGTTATTAATATTTGACAGAGGTTATAATGTGACAATCCTTTTACAGCATTGCTAATAACAATATTTCCCCTTCACTATTGTCTGCGGCCTACGCTTTACAGCTACACACTTCCTGAAAAACAGGAAATGATTTTGCAGCGTGAAGCTATTGTCAATTATGAAGAGCCAGGGAAAGTCAAAGATATACAGCAGTAAAGCTTAGTAAATAATACTCGGCGCCGTAAAGCTGTCCTTAACACACAGACGCTCGCTAAGAATGAATTCATTTCTCAGAAACCCCCTGCCAGTTTACTTCTGTGCAACCCATGACCAAATATTGCTGTGGCTATAGCATGCCCATATCTCCCAAATAATAGAGACAGAAAGGAGGGATATACAGTTGTGCTCAAACGTTTGCATACCCTGGCAGAAATTGTGAAATGTTGGCATTGATATTGGAAATATGACTGATCATGCCAAAAAAAGCTCTTTTATTGAAGGATGATGATCATATGAAGCCATTTATTGTCAAAGAGTTGTTTGGCTCCTTTTTAAATCATAATAACAGAAATCACCCAAATGGCCATGATCAAAAGTTTACATACCCTGGAATGTTTGGCCTTGGTACAGGCAAAAAGGTGACACAGACGGGTTAAAATGCCAATTAGAGGTTAATGTCCCATATCTGTGGCTTTTTAAGTTGCAATTAGTGTCAGTGTATAAATATTAAATTAGTTTGTTAGCTCTTACGTGGAAGCACTGACTAGCCTAGATACTGAGCCATGGGGATCAGAAAAGAACTGTCAAAAGTCCTGCGTAACAAGGTAATGGAACTTTATACAGATGGAAAAGGACATAAAAAGATGTCCAAAGCCTTGAATATGCCAATCAGTACTGTTAAATCACCTATTAAGAAGTGGAAAGTTCAGGGATCTCGATACCAAGCCAAGGGCAGGTAGACCAAGAAAGATAGCAGTCATATTTTCAATATCAATGCCAAAATTTCACAATTTCTGCCAGGGTATGCAAACTTTTCAGCACAACTGTATTTTACAAACTTTTTATTAAAATGCTCCCTTCCTCTCCCATTTTCTATTTCTATCAACGTGAAAAAAAATGAGTGACAGACCATAAAAACTCCAAACCATGCATATGCATTTACAGGCATCAAAGACATATCACATGACCTAGGACAGTAAGGGGGAGAAGCTGCGTTCATTCCCAGAAGGCGTTGTACTGAGACTGGGGTATGATCTGTAAGTACACAGAGGGTGGGGGGACAACTTAGCCCTAGACCACCCCTCCAAGAACCTGTTAAGCCCCCTCACTTACTTATGGCTTATTTAGACTTGTGGTAGCCCTCTGAAGAGCAGCCTGCGGTGGATTGCTTTTTAGAAGGTGTCAATCTGCAGTAGATTGCTTTTAGGCATTACGTCAACTCCTCACCACCCATTTTAAACCATAAACAGAAGGGAATCATTTTTTGCCATACATGTCTATGCCCCCTGATGAATAAAGAGTAATCACCGCTCAAGGCTGGTCTCCACATTTATCACCTCCACTGCACACTAGCATGTGATGGCCCTGTTTGTAGCAGACATCAGTGCAGGGAAGAAAAATCCAGTCGGCCCCACATCCAATAAAATCACCTTTATTTGGACATATTCATAATAGACACTCCACAATATACAAAAGAGGGAACATAGCACTCCAGCTAACGCGTTTCACGCCACCATCAGAGCGTAACCATAGCTAATGATTTTAATGGTTAGGCGCTGATGGTGTGAAATGCGATAGCTGGAGTGCTATGTTCCCTCTTGTGTATATTGTAGAGTGTCTATTTTGAATATGTCCAATATAAAAGGTGAAATATGTCCAAATGACCCGTTTGGAAAGCAGATAATCCGAGATATTTATTAAGAGGCATGGCAAGTTGACACTGTTCTACTCTGAGGGGGGGGGGGGGGGAAGAGGTGATGAGGATTTCTTTTTCTCACAGTTATTGTTTATAACAGTGATGATCTCTGTTTAATAGTTTTAACTGTCATGAATGGCCTTCCATTCATGAAGAGCTTGCTTACTGTTGTGATTGGCGACAGCTAATCACATGGTACAGGTTGCCAATCACAGCACCACAACAGTAAGCAAGCTGTTCTTGAATGAAAGCCATTTATGACACTTTGTTTACATACAGTTGCAAGAAAAAGTATGTGAACCCCTTGGGATTACGTGGAGTTTTGCATGAATTGGGCATAAAATGTGCTCTGAACGTCATCTAAGTCACAACAATAGAAGAACACAGTCTGCTGAACATAATACTACACAAACATTAGATGTTGCCATGGTTTAATTGCACATAACAGGTAAACATTCACAGTGCAGGGAGGAAAAAGTATGTGAACCTTTGGGCTTAATAACTGGTTGACCCTCCTTTGGCAGCAATAACCTCAACCAAACATTTCCTGTAGTTGCAGATCAGACCTGCACAACGATCTGGAGTAATTTTGGACCACTCCTCTTCACAAAACTATTTCATTGTAGCAATATTCTTGGGATGTCTGGTGTGAATCGCTCTCTTAAGGTCATGCCACAGCATTTCAATCGGGATGAGGTCAGGACTCTGACTGGGCCACTCCAGAAGGCGTATTCTGTGCTGTTGCAGCCATTGTTTTGTTGAATTACTTGTATGCTTTGGGTCATTGTCCTGTTGCATCACCCATCCTCTGTGGAGCTTCAGCCAGTGGACAGATGGTCATACATTTTCGTGCAAAATGTCTTGATAAACTCTGGAATTCATTTTCCCATCAAAGACAACAATCCGTCCAGGCCCTGAGGCAGCAAAGCAGCCCCAAACCATGATGCTCCCTCCGCCATGTTTTACAGTGGGGATGAGGTTTTGATGTTGGTGTGCTGTGCCTTTTTTTCTCCACACATAGTGTTGTGTGTTCTTCCCAAACAACTCAATCTTGGTTTCATCTCTCCACAGTATATTTTGCCAGTAGTGCTGTGGAACATCCAGGTGCTCTTTTGCAAACTTCAAACGTGCTGCAATATTCTTTTTGGACAGCAATGGCTTTCTCCGTGGTCTACCTCCCATGTACTCCATTCTTGTTTAATGTTTTCCTTATTGTAGATGTGTCAACAAAAATGTTAGCATGTGCCAGAGATTTCTGTAGGTCTTTAGCTGACACTCTGGGATTCTTCTTTACCTCATGCAGCATTCTGCGCTGTGCTCTTGCAGTCATTTTTACAGGACGACACGACTAGGGAGAGTAGCAACAGTGCTAAACTTTCTCCATTTGTAGACAGTCTGTCTTACCGTGGACACATGAACATCAAGGCTTTTGGAGATACTTTTGTAACCCTTTCCAGCTTCATGCAAGTCAACAATTCTTGATCGTAGGTCTTCTAAGAGCTCTTTTCTGCGAGGCATGGTTCACATCAGACAGTGCTTCTTGAAACCAGTAAACCCAAAACAGGTGTGTGTTTTTTAAGGGCAGGACAGCTGTCAGCAACACATCCAATATCATCACACTGATTGGAGTCAAGGTTGGCTC